CAGTACAAATTTTTTACATCTCCATTTATAAAATAAGGATTTGAGCGCATTCTCGTGGCAAACAATTGACTACGGCACCTAGTGTTTTATGCATCAGCGTATTATGCGCAGCGTATAAACGCAATAAAGCCGTAAATTGAATATATTCCTATATATATGTAACGGTTCAGTTACAAAAGAAACATTTTCCATCTAAAACCCTACAACTCAAAGCCCACACATTTATTCAAATTTTAAAATGGCGTTTCCTCTTCTAAAGCTCAAAATAATTTATCTTCTGTGCATTTTTTTTTTCTTTTTTTTTTTTTTTTTGGAATAATTTCCTTTTTAGTTGTAACATAAATTTATTTTGACTTAATTCACATTTTTCTTTTATTTTTTTTTTTTTTACATTTCGCACAATAGAAATAATTATGTATATGTAATTTGTATGGAAACGTAAATTACAACGGGATCCTATATAGCTCAATCCAGAGAAAACAAAAAAAAAAAAAAAAAACAGAAGTACAACACTTCTCATACTGCTATATGCTGACGTGAAAGCAAAAATTTTGTGTTCATTCATTCCTGTACTACTTCTTTTTTCTTATCTTAGCATAATTTCCCCCTAGGCGTAACGTAATTAAAAAAAGAAAAGCGAAAAGCACACTAACCCTGTACATTACTGTTTTAAATAAGTATCCTGAACAACATGGTACACCTAAACAAAACAGCATCAACACCCAACGGTGTCTCACAAGGCGCGTCGCAATGCCGAAATGGCAAAACCGTTGACACATCCAGGAAAGGAAGTGAAACACATGGCACAAGGGCGCATGGATCGCTTTTCTCCAAATCAGCTGCTATCCTTCTTGTTGTTGCTTGGATCTTCTTAACGGTAAGCCCAGTATGAAAGATTACATGATCACATATAGATGTGGAGACTGGAATGTTGCGCTCTCGGCTATATGTATGTGCCGTACGCAACATGCCCAAATATTTATATGTATATTTTTGTCCTTCCGGTTCTTACTTCCCCTTTTTGTTCCTTTCTCCATTGCCATTCTATTAATTCAACTCATCACCACTCCTCTTCGCTTCCCCTTTCTACAGCATCCAGATAAATTCGACAGACACGAAGAACATGTGGCCCAATTACAAGTATATACCAGAGTTGCCCGCAGTTTAGCAAAAATTAAAGCAATTGCATCAGAAGATGAGCTTGAATTACATCCGATGGAATTCGAACACTATGACGATGCTCCACCAACCTATGAAGGAACCTACGAAGGTGCCTACGACGATGTCGACGAACCTTATGAAGAAGCCTATGCATTTTCCCCAAAACGAATATATTCTCGCAACCAATGGACGACACCAAAAAAACGATGTTATAGAGACGGAGCAGGAACTATACTAAAAGCATGGAAAATGGTGGAGTACCAGGTACCACAACAAGTGCATTATGCAAGAAAGTGGAAAATAGAACATGATGCACGGGAAGAAGAAGTCGATAGCAACGAGACATTATCTGCCGATGTAGCAGTCTCCGCGTCAGTTGAAAAGTCTAGCACATCGCTTTCGAAGGTTGGTGCACAAGCATCATTGCCGCCATCCCTACAAAATAAAGGACAAAGTGCAAAAACGAAACAGGAGCCGAAAGGATCTTCGGGTACAGGTAAAACGGATGTGGAAACAGGACGAGGAGAGAAAATTAAAATTTTTCGCGAACACTGTATGTGCCTCTTTTTCCGCCCCAAAGACAAACGCCACGTTGTGGATAAACTGTTCATGAAATCATATTCCATGCCTAATTACAGGAACGACCCGAAACACCGCAAGCACAAAGCATGGCAAGCAGAATAAGGCAGTTAACATCAAAACCGGAAGAGGCTTTAGTAGACGGCAATTGGCTAAATATATTATATATAGGTACTGCAAGTTCTTTGTTGTGGCTATTGTCATTTACTGTATAATAATGATTGGTGCTAGCTGTGCCGTTGCGTTTGTACCTGCGGTTACAGCGCTCTACGGCGGTTTGTATTTATTTGGGATTGCCGCGGCGTCCACTGCAGGTGGAATGGGTACAGTCAGTATGTTGTCACTTCTGATATTCCGGTGCTGCTACCGAAAGCGAAGGCAAAAGTGCCGAAGAAGGTTTTGAAAGACCAAAATTTCAGCAGAACAAGATCAGCTACGAGTGGGACCGGAGAAAGCCGAAATACCAGAACCATCAGAAGTAACTTGGTGTATGCCACTTTCAGGCAGGCAACTACACTGTTGCTGTATGCTTCTATATATTTATTCGATTGAACCTCATATGATATTGCATACATGTTGTATGATATGGCTTATGATTTTTTATGCATTTATGTTATTGTTCCGTTTTGTACATTATAATATGGTTTACGTTTTTTCTAATATATATGTTGTGTGCATATATAATGCGGATTGTTTCTGTAATAATTTGGTCCATAGACACGATGAAAGGACAAAGCATTTGAAACAAAAAAAAAAAAAGCATGCGTCCTTCTGTTATTCTATGTGTATATATAGCGAATAATTATTTGTTACATCGTATATGTGTAACATATATAGTACACAATGATCATC